CGATGAACAGAAGGGCAACAGTACTGAATTACACACAATAAACCCACAAGTGTTTTTTTTCAAATCTCCACAAAGACCGGACATACAGTCCATACATGGCCTCTGTAAGACAGCTCACGCGTTTTATACTTCTGATGGTTGTTATATACACAGTCAAGAGCACTGGATTTTCATTATCATAGACACCAACGATTTATACCGAACCACATATCGGGTTCAACTACGTACACAGAAATGGACAGAAATATAGAAAAAAGAAAGTGTAGGGTGCTTGAGTGTGGAAGATAATGATATTTTAACGGTGGGTGAAGTTCATACGGGGAGCGGGTAGAAGAACTACGATACGGTCTAAATAACTAAGCGCGATGTGAACAAATGCCATGGATTGAACTTGTGTGATATCAAAAGAATTCTTCACTCTTATGATTTCAGGTGCAGAATAATGCGTAAAATCTACTGATATTTTTATGGTTCCAATCGATACCAATATTCTATCCAAATACGATAGTAAGAGGAAAGTGGTGATAATGAGAAGAGCGGTAACAATCATAGAAAATTATGATTTGCGCTGGAGTTCATTGACGTGAGCCAATACTATTTATTTCTTCATATGCATATGTACTACTCATGAGTAGATGAAAGAGCCAGAGGAAAAAAATGCTATATCAGGTGATAGAAAATACTCTGACTTTTCGGAGTTATAATCCCGCACACGCGTTGGAATGTGGAGATGCATACAGCTTTCCTTTCAGAATCACTGAAGTTTTTAGGCATCTTGTGATGCGAACGCATAATATGCTTGTGTGTTTGTGTGTGTATGTGTGTGTGTGTGTGTGTGTGCGTGTGTGCATGTGAACGCGCGCGTACTCGCTCGGTTGCCGCAGCCAGGTGTATACGTGTCGTAGTGGTAGAAAAGCAAGTACACAACACACACATCAATTAACTGTGTCGGATAAACAGCAACATTGCAAAGTCAGTGAAATTGTTTTGGATGGGGGAAGGCGCTGATTGGCTGTGTGAGCTAATGTTGATCGGAAACAGAGAAAACAAGTACACATGCGGCAAATATACAGACCAGGCCATCAAACAACACGTACGCACGTATCCCAGATTCGTTACTCCACAGGCTCGTCCGCTAGGAGCATTGCCTTTAATTGGCTATCTTCCATGCATCCTTTCATGAATTCTTCCCGAGTTAGGACACCATCACCGTTTTCATCCATTTTCTCGAATATTTCTTCAGCTCTGGCTTCGGGACTGAGATCAGCCACATTGCTGTCCGTGCCAAGCATTGAATAGATTGCCTGCGATATATCGAATGAGATTGAAATGCATTGTAAAAAAGCTCTATAAGGTTTTTGAAATGGCATGTCTCAATCAAGGTGAATTGCAGGTCAGACTCGCAAGAATTTTGGACGATTTATTTTTATTTGCTGATAGAATATTGTGTAACAGCGATTATTGCCTACCCAACCAATTTACCCATAGTAAAACTTCTAGTTTCATAAACCATCACTTACAGAAAATGCATCGTTTCACTAGTCATCAGGTTAATCATGCACAAGCGAGGGACGGGCTGAAGAGTTGCTTTGTTTGCAGTTGTTGTTTTTCAGCCTATCCCAAACTACGTCTCTATGTATATATTCTCCAGTGTATAAACTCGTAGATTGCAGAAAATCATCCCTTTGCAAGCATAAAACTCTTTATTGACCGATATCTATTTTGAAGAATGACGTTTCAAGATCCCTCTCCGAAGCGATGAAAATCCCTAGTTATGTATGAAAAGTAAACAAGTTATCCTTTGATTCATGTAAATTGGCCGTTTTGCCGTTCATTTATAGCAGTAAAGATACTGGAAACTGGCTTTTGATACATAATTTTGTGATCAGGAATAGTGAGTCAACGCGAAGTGGCATAACCATTTCAGTTACCAAAATCGATTGATAAGTATTTTACCGTCTATCTGTCTGTCTGTCTGTCCGTCTGTGTGTCTGTCTTCCTGCCTCACCATAAATGCGCTTATACGTATATCTCTACATGCACCTAAGAAAAACCTACTGAGAACCAATGCAGTTCTACATATGCTTGGACGTGAATAAAATGGACACAGTTCAGATGTCTGGTAGGGGTCATAGGCCATATAAAGAAAGCAAAAGGTCGTGCACCTAGTCTGAATATGAGTAGTGAAACCGACGAAAACTGATGAAAACTGAATCGAAATTTGGTAAAACCTAAGAATTAATTCACTTTCTTTACCCGTTCACTAAGTTAGTTCATCGATGCATGGATCACGGTTAAATGCTTCGAGCACCTAAAAACAGGATAACAATGTGTTCTGTTGTTTAAATGAGAGCAGGTTCTCCCTAATGATGATTTCGGTGTGGGATCACAGTTCTGAAACACAATAATCCTTCCCAATGCAGAATTGTATGCCATTCAAATAAAGGTTTATTTTCAGGATAGCGTTCAAAAGTGTACAGACCCAGTATCAGATCAACCTTGTATTGATATTCCATCCTTTCCTCCACGTGATCACCCCAGATCAATCCATACTCAGCTGAGAACTTCCTAAAGTATGCCAATAAAAGACGAATATTTAAATAGCCGTTGAATGAAAGTAATCAACGGACGCAAAGGATTCCTTAATTGGGATAGGTTCGGGTCGGGTGAGGATCTTTATCCACAGAGAGGAAATCAGGGATAGAATTATCCAAAAAAAGCCTGAACTCATGATCGTGTGAAATAGTTGGGGAGATCCGGTTGTCGATGAAATAGCATTCGTCACACACATGTACACAAATATGCACACAAATAAACTCGTGAGCAGTTTCACGATCCTATATCGGCAAATTATTTCTATCTCTGACTGAATAGTTGAACAATGCTTCTCAACTTTCCCTCCGGTGAGTAATCTATAAACGGTGAACAATACACTTATGCAAACAATATCAAGTGTTCACTCAAAAATGCTGTACAATTGTGTCTGGCCCATAACATCGATCTGAGCATGCTCCAACTGTCATGTAAGACCTGAAATTTCCGACTCCACGTGTTTTGTGATCGACTGAGTCACTCTCGATCAAAACTATAACGAAGCTGTAATTCACTATCAATCCGATTATGTAATCCCTATTCAACCTGACGCGATACACTGTGGTAGTAGTAGTAGTAGTAGTAGTAGTAGTAGTAGTAGTAGTAGTATAAATTTGCTCAATGGAATTCGAAAAAGAATTTTTCCGATAGAGTACCAGGAACGAAGTCAACCAGAAGGAAGGAAGATAATGCGATTCAATCGAAGACAATTTTTCTGTCCTCTTTGGATCAACTATCTGTTTGTTCTCTTTCATTCAAGGGAGTTTCCCTGTGTTTTCTTTTTATTTTCACCGCTTCTGTCACAGGTTTGCCGGTGAATAGGTGCACCTGTTGAACGAAGAGCCAGGGTAAACGAGTAGGCGGGTAAACCAATCCTGATGTAATCCCACTTCACACCTCAAGAATTATAACAATGCGGTTTCCTTTTGTATTTTTCGATCTTCGATTCTGTGTGGGTGTGTGAGTGTGTGTGCGCGCGTGTGTGTGTTTCAACCTGAGAGGATCCTAGTGTATATGCGAGTTATGCCTTCCTGAGAATGGGTGTTATCGACTATCCAGAGAGTCGGCTGATGTGAACAGTCATCATAATGATGACGGCTATTTCCGCTGCTCCATGTCCCACAATTCCTGTCATTTTCGATTTCATATCAAAATCCGTGGACCGTACCCCAGCATTTGGATCACACACACACACACACACACACACACACACACACACACGCACTCAAACACATCCACTACCCATTTCGTCCACCTTCTTTGGTATGTGATGGTATGTGCGCTCACACAACCAGACTTGAGGATGATTGTTGAGTGCATACTCCGATATCCGGTAGTGAGAAGTTATGCGCTCTTGAATTCTTGATGTCTCGTTGAAAGTAAACATGTATCTAATGAACTATTCTACCGCATCTGGTGAACATACATATGTATATATATTCACACAAACGTATGACTATGTGTGAGATAATCAGTCAGACAATCCGTACAATCGTTCTGGTATGATAGAAAAACAAGAAAAAGATGCAACTAAGCTAGGTTTGCAACTGAATCAGGTATAGCGCGTCCATCATACACACACACACACACACAAACTGACGCACGGACGAACACTTGTCGTTCCACTTGTCCTGACGGATGAATATGCTCTGTTAAACTGATACACACCTGACTGGGACGTCTGCCCAGCCCGAATCGGTAGACCAGTGGACACACTCGTCCTCGTTCGGTCACTCTATGCCAACTCACACTACCGTTTTATTTTATTTTCTCGTACAAGGTTGCGTGTTTTTTGCAACTTCTAATAAATGATGGTTCTTATCTGTTCATCCACAGCGGTGGTGGTCAAGTAGTAAAGGTCACCAAATTATCGCCCCATATAACTTGCGTTGGAATCTCATCACCGCTAGAATTTCCCCAATTTAGCAGTCTTTTTATTAGCCGCTTCCACCTTCCTGAAAATTGCACGATTATGTGACAGTATTGGAGGAATTGATTTGTTCGGATGTTTCTAACGTGCATATCCAAAATGAGAAACGGTCTGATCAGTCGCCCGGTAACCGAATGGGTAATATGCTCTAGTTCTGCTGGTGAGATCCTGGGTTAGATCCTCAAGTGGGTCGATGGATTCGAACTGCTAACAAGACCGAAACAGGTCGAAACGGCTGTATAGTGATCTCTAGCTTTTCAGTTCATGCTTCATTTACTTTACGCACGATGAATTCCCTCTATGAAACTATCTTTATCTTCCAGGCCGATAACATTGAAACAGTGCCTCCTGGTTTGAAGTGATATTGCTTCATTGTGTTCCACCGTCAGTGATACCAATGAATCACCCGTTTCAGGTGCACTGTTTGATGGAAGTCAGTAATTTCGGGAATCTTCACCGTTTGTTGTGTATTTAAATCACCGTTTTTCAATAATCGTTTAGTCAACATCGTCATGCGCAGAGTGAACAAACGGTCAACTGAAACGTTAAAAAGCAATGGACGACAATTACGACCTGGTTAAGTCCCATGAACAGCCCTGAAGCACTCTCTATACTCTCATACAATTCGTTTTAATATATGTTCAGACCTGGGAAAGATTTACAGTCTTGTTCTAATAATAACGAGGCTACAAGGCCGTTTTCAGTGGTAGCCATTTGCCTGCAGAATAAGGTCAATCATTGTCCGATAGATGATTTGATGTTGGTTTCATGTTTTATTGTGTCCAAATTTGAACGACCGACCCCGGTTATATCCAGTACTTTCGATACAAGCGTCATTTACCGCTTTAAACTTATCGATGATATGTCGAATCGTTTGGTGTTCATTCACATCTATATCGGAACAAATCGATGTGGATACCGACTGCTTGCTTCTTTTCATACATGGATATCTGTCAGCTGATATGCGTGAGTACAGTTCTCACATCTGACTGTGAAGTTTCACTAAGTACTGTTAACAAAAATCAGGAATTCTAGGCAAATCTGTGTCGCCGATTTGATAAACTTGTGCGCAGTTTGTTCTATTCCAGGTGGGTCCTCACTTTTTTTATCAATACTGCACCATGGCAAATATCTCTCAGGTGCAATGTGAACACGAAGGAACTGGGCTTGATGTTCTATCATCTTAAAGTGCAACCATGTGCGAGGTAGAAAGAAACGTAAATCGCGGGTTCTCGGACAGTTGAGTCATTTGAGAGCGGACGGNGGGGGAAGAGGCCACTAAACTTGATGTCCCACTGCTACCCAGTTTCCGTTCTGCTATTAGCTGCTATGCGGCGCGGTGACAGGAATTCCGGAATTCCGTAGATTGCAATCCCGCATTTCGCGTGAGAAAAAGTGGTCTATGCCTAAATTTTACCCAGAAAAGGAATTAGTTTGGGGAGCGGGCATTGGGGGTAGGGTGGGAGGTGACTGACCACAAAAAACAAAGTACAAACACCGCGATCACAATGAACAAAACGCAGTGAGATGCAACCGGTAGATCAAATTTTCGTAAACTCCATTCGATTGACATTTAGTCCCATTTGTGAATGATGTCAGTTGACCGCCGTTCACGTATGCGACGTTAGACGCTTTTAATGTGCGAAATAATTTCGGTTTGGAATACTTGTGAAAGCGTTATAAACTGTTTGATGGGCTACCGGTATATGGGAAACCGGAAAGAAAGTGCTATGTAAATATTGACAGCATTGGATAAAACAATAACTGTGGTTTACAGTAGAA